ATACACAAATGGCACATTTAATTCATTTGTACTATATGCCCGTAAATACAGCCTGCACTGTATTTTCATGCTTCCACTCTATATAGCCCATTTCCTGCACTTTACTACCTAAAAACAGTAAGAATGTATTACACTAAGCATGTTTATTGGAAGTGAAGAAATTAGCTTCCTATCAAACTTGTGTACACCTGCAAATATGTGGCTTATCCTGCAAAATATAGACAAGTAAAACTAAAAGTTAATTGCTCTGAGCAAATTATATATCAATATTACAGAAATTTAAGCCTTTCTTCATTCCTATTAATTTCCAGCATTGCCTTCACATTTCTCAGCACAACTAGAGACATTAAATAGAAAAGCTATCACAGCACTAAAGAAAAAGTGTAATGTTATTAACTTTATCTGTAGTTGGTTTTAATTTTGTGGCTACTTGGTGCTTATTGCCATAAACTAATCACTTTTAAGCATTTAAAATTGCAGAGCGAGTGTGTTTATGCAGCACTGACTATAGAGGCCCTTTTTTTTTTTTTTATGGAGCGCAATTAATAAGAGTAAAACTGCAATGCTACAAAAGAATAATAAATAAAGAATTCAATTCAATTTTTTCTCCTCTTTAGTGCAGCCTTTCATCTCAACAAAAGAGCAGGGACTTACCAGTGATATCAATGGGCTCCAGGGCAAAGGCCTCCTCCTCATTGTGAACCAGAGTGGTCTGTTCTGTCTGGTCAGCCATGGCAGGCAGGGGCTCTGGTGGACCTGAGTCTGGGCTGTCTGGGCCCGCTGGACACACGCATCAAAAGAGGCAATATGGTCACTTATAACAGCACACAACTGAGGAGTTTTATCACCATAGTTTCTACAATTTTGTTTACTTACGTGACTGGAGGTTGTCAAAGTCATCCTCATCATCACCATGATCTGGAGGCATCATGACACTTTCTGTAATAGCTGGAGGATCGTCAAAGATACCGCCGCCGTCTTCAGAGCTCAGCAGTTTGTCAACTGAGAAATAATACATTTAACTTTATCATGTTATCATATCTCACAGAACAAGAATTGTTTGCCAAGTATGAGAATGATGTGGCTGTGATGACGATGTGGTCACCAGATCCCAATGTGTAAACAAATGTGTTTCTCACCCAGCATCCCCCCATCACTGTTGCCCATGGAGCCGTCCCCAAAGTCATCATACTCCATGTGGTTGGATTTGTCAGGAAGATTAGCTGGACCAGGTTCAGCCTCAAGCAACAGGTTAGAAGCCGTCGCACCATGTATTATATCCTCCTCAAATGTGCTGGCATCACGCATCATCTCTCGGTCGTCCATGCCAAAGTCAGCTGAGGAGTACAGCAAAGTATTATTATAAAATATACACCACATTTCTCATTACACAGAAATGAATTAAACATTTCAAACCCCAATGGATAACAAAGACATAATTAGTAAATCTAAATTTGCGTGTGTTGACCATTACCAGGGTTGGGTTGTGCGATGTGTGTGTGTGTGTGTGTGTGTGTGTGTACATATGAGGACATAAATAATGACCTACCAAAGTCATTGTCTTGCAAGAGGCTCAGGTTGCCAACATCTTCCCTCATGGTGATCTCCTCTACTCTGCTCTGGTTCAGGGTGAACTGCTGAGCAACATCTATGTCACTATTTGAAGGAGAAAGCAAACAAAGGTATTAGAGATGAGTCAAACTGTTGCCTATGACGTTATTATAAAGCCTCCATGTCAGCCCATCACTGAAACTCAATATACTTGTGTTGTAAATAAATGAATAAATAAATACTGCAATTAACAACAACTTGCAGAACTACATTTTTCTATGTAGTATACAGAATTCCATTAGCTACAATAGCCCATGTTGGTCTCTGTCACCACTGTTTGAATCACCAAATAGCTGCTCTTATTTACAAAGTTTTCATCTTTCTGTTATTGAACAATCCATCTGTGTAATTATGGCACTTGTGCAATGAGATGGGCTCCACTGACAATAAAAATGGTTGATGAAAGCAAAAATTGGAGGCATGCGTTGCTGTCATACTTAACACCAAGGACTGAAAACACAGACCTTACAGTGCATCCTACAAATGACAAAAGTATTTGGTAGAAATTACGAAATAAGAGCTGTTTACATAGTTGACTTACTCCAGATCTGGAAGTGGCTGGTCAAAGTCATGGAATTCTTCGGGTAAGGTGATAGCATTGTACGCTGCCTCTCTGTTTTCCTCAGGTAGATCCACTACACCTGAACACAGACAAGCAGCAACGTAGTTTTAAAAACACAACTTCGTATGTGGTTCTTATTTATGAGGTGTAGCACAATGGATCAAAGTCAGTACCACAGCAATGGGCTGGAAAATGTTTTTATTTGTTTGGGGAAAACAGATCAAAACTTCAAGAAACAGAAAAAAAGACCATACCTGGTCTAAAAGCCATTTTGATCTTGATGAAAGCTTCATTACAGTCAGCAAGCAGATACTTGGCCTTCCTGTGGTAAATTCTCACCACCCCAAGGAGCAAGTGGCCTGATGTACGCAAAGCCATCTTCACCTGAAAAACAAAAGTGCCCAAAATGCTCAAAGAAAATTAATTTTTACAGGGTTATTTGTCCTGTTTTAGTATTTCACCAGCTCAAGATCAAAACAAGCATAGAAAGTGAACTAAAACGTCTTCAGTAGAACTACCAGAATACCTGAGACTATTTTTGTTGTGTTACCTTGGGTGAGATGATGCTCTCCACACTGCTCTCGAGGTTGCATTCAAACACATGGGCCTTGGTCAGCTTTTTGTCCCAATGGGCCGCCAGCCAGATCTTGGCCAGCGGCCCACGTTTGCTGAGGACAAAGTGGGCGTAGAACATTGCCCTGCTTCTCCTGGGTCACACGCTCACCCTGTGGTATAATTTACCTGTAAACATAATAAAGTAGTAAAATAAAAAAAAAAGTCAAGACAAAAGCATTACCATCCCTTAGGATTTGTGGAAAAACAATGCATCTTTTGCCCTACTTCAACAATACAGCCCTCAACACTTGACTGTTCTTGATGTGGGATTAAGAGTCAAATCTACTTTTTGAAAAAGTCGAAGAAAACACCACTGGATAGTTGCACAGAATTATTACTTAGTAATACGCTGCAACTATCATTTGTTCAGAAATATGCTGAATATTTAAGTCAAAATAAAACCTATTGCTTAATTACATATAACCTTTATGTTCCAACAAAACAAGCCATTACAAATAAAACGGATGGACACTCATGCAGATTGTGGAATAGAGATCCAAAATTTAACCAGGCCACCAAGCCTGAGTTGGGCAACAAGTCGCAAGAGCCGTTAAGACACTACCCCCATATTTTAAATAACAATGCCATCAGCATGCTTCTATTTAATAAACAGCGGTCTATTGTATCTCAAATTAACATTTTGAGACAACTTCGAAAGCCGCCGCTCATATTAAGCAGGGGGCTTGCTAGCTGGATTTACCGTAGCTACTTCATACTTACCATTAACTCTAAAATCCAATTGAGCTTCCTCGAAACACTTCGTATACTTTTTTTCTTACAAATAAATTAAAGTTATGAAACTTTAATTGTTACTTGCTGCTGGTAAGATACTAACTACACATAGAAAGTGAGATTCGAACGTTATCAAAACATGCGCCGTGACTTGATTCAAGTTCCGCCTATTTCCCACTCTCTGAGGCAAACACTGTAAATGCACATGTCTATCTGGGGAAAGTCACACTTTGGCGGCGCTTAACTTCAATAATACGACAAAGTTTTACATTTCCCAAATGCAATAATTAACTTGAAAAGGCCCACGCGTCTTTGAACACGGACTTCAGACAGTTTAACACGTTAAAAGCGCCAAAGAGTGGTCTGCGCCAGCAAATAGCCGGCGCCATCAAGTGGGATGAACTAAATTAGCCAGCAGCTAACTACAAAAGAAGCAGTGAGCAGCTTCGCGGTGAAGCAGAAAATGTGGATCAAACTGAATTAATTTAATTTGAGCAAAACCACAAATTTTATAAAATGGCAAGAGCACAAGCGAAGCACATGAGTGGGGAAGTGAAGCGCACAGGAACAAGGCGCCCATACTTTTTCCCTCTACACTAGCACAATACTATCGCTAACTGCTGGCTAACGGCTGCTTTTACACTGAAGGCCGCAGTGAATAAACTCACACATGCATGCTTACTTCCTATTGTAAAATACACAAAAGTGCGCCCACATATTTCCGCTGCAAACACACTTACCGACAGTATCCCCTCTTGAGCGAAACCCCAATGATTAAGTTATTTCTCCCAGCAAATTCTTCCCTGTTGTACTCATTAAAACAGCCAAGATGGCGCCAGTCGCCTTCCTCCCGCTCACCGCTGTCCTTTTAAAATCGACAGGATGTTTACAGTCAAAAAATGGCGGAGGAGGAGTCTGCTAAGAAGGGTGATACTAACAGACAGCCTGCTGTGAACGGCAGCGGAGGATAGGAGGCGCTGTTGCACAGAGATCGCCAAGGTAATTTTAAATTCTGAAATATATGTCGCGTATGTATTATTAAAATTCCAACAACAACAACCACAATAATACATATTAATAATATTTTTTAGGACTTGCTAAGGCGACTGAGCTAATCAATGTTAAATGTTATGTTAAAGACTGTGTAAAGGCCAAAAAATGATCGGTTGTATTCACATGGGATGGTAACACTCAAACAATGTCAATCCTTCTAACAGTATCCTTAGTGGGCAGAGAAGTGGTCATCCATGCAGTCCATAAACCATTTTAGACACAGAGATGAGGAACATAGCTAACAGACTGACTCATCTACAATCAAATTACAAAATGCACTAAGAGGATTTGTCTCATAGGCTACAGCATCTGTTGCATTAGAACTGCTGCCAGCTGAGCATGTTTGTAATTTAGCAGCAGCAGCAAAGCTCTGTATCACTATATGAGGGAGATATCAGAGGAATTACTCCGTTAAATTCGTTGTTAAAGAACTGATTCATAACAATATTATTAGTCATCTTCAGTGAACATCAAATCCTAACATGACAGTATGAAGTCACAAGGTCTGTTTATGCACCACAATCACATAATACCCCCACATTTTTTTCTCATGCATTCGGTCAGTGTGATCTAGTCCAAATTACATTGGGGACAAAAATACATAAAAAGTGAATAGATTTCAAAACTGGATGGAGGTTTTTGAATGGATTACATCACTAATTTATGGGGACATCGTATGAAGTTTTAGAAAATGGTCTATGACCCATTTTAACACATTTTACTCCAGAGCCGCGTCTGGATCGCAACACAGTTTTGAGCTTCCATCTGTTAAACAAGATAATATTATCTAGATGATTGCTGTCTGCAGCTATGATGTGACGGATACGCCTTAACAGCTTTAGAGAAAGCAGCCACTTCTCTGTTGATGCTTTCCTGCTTTAGACGAGCTCCTACGTTTGATGTACAAGGTTTGAGTCAAAGCCTGAATGCATCTGATTATCTACATCTAAAAAAACAGAAGTATATTATTATCTGCAAAGATCTATTTATGTTGGGGGGAAAAAAAACCCACTTAGGCTGTACTGCATTCTTATATGCAGAGATATGCAGACACTTGCAGAAAAGGATGAAGCCTAAAAACAGCTGGAGATTTTTATCTAGGCAAACACTGAGGACTTGGATTCCTTTAATCCTGTGAAATTAATTGATTCTGGTTATTAGAGCAATAATGTCCCTAATCTAAATGTATTCAATTAAGTCACCACAGGGAGCACCATCAACTCTTCTGTAACGTAACTGCCTGTTAGAAGTCCTGTATGGCATTCAGATGAGCTGCAGATGTAGTCTTCAAACTCTAAATGACTTATTCCTCACGTGCTTAGTTTTCTTTAAATATATGCATTTGCATAGACTAGATATCATCTACTTTGTTTTTTTTATTATGGATAAAGACAGTTAAGTGTTTTATACCACTTGCAATAGAAGTGTAACAGAAAAGCAAATGTGCTCCCTCAATATAGTTCAAAATGCACAATGACTCTCAGGATTTTATCCCAAAAGGCAGCATGGAACAAACATGAAATCCTTTATAATGCATGGTGTTTAGTTGCAGTGTTTGAAGTAAAGTAAGGCAAACGGACACCATGACTATATAAATTCCCATATCCCAAGAGATCTATATTGGCACTACAGAAAATAATGTCTTATGACTTCAAATGCAGCAGAGATAGAGAGAGAGAAAAAAGAAGCCCTTTCTTCTCTTTCTGAAGCTTGAGTGTGTCCTCAATCATTTCTCTTAGCATGGCATAATGATATCTGATAGGGAGTGGCATTTCTCAGATTTGGCCCTGAGTCACAGTGCTTAATCCGACAGCAGGGAATTGTCCTGCCTGCCAAAACTGAGACCCATCACCACAGCAGATACACATCTCATCACTAGGATTAAGGGAAGTTGAACTGATTTGCAGAACATTAAAAAAAAAAAAAAATACAAGAATACTTTTGGCATTAGATAGCATCCCCAAGGCGCTGTGGAAAAACTCCAGCGGTATCATCTCTGTAGTTTCCCACTTCAGTTTATCTAAAACTACACATTTTCAGCGACGCATCTAAATCATTTCTTTCTGAATTGGACCACACCGTGGATGTGGACCTGGTGTGAGTGTCCAAATGGTGTTCTTTTTGGTGTGACATGATAATTCATCCTGACTGGGCATTAGTCCAGCTTTTTCCAACTGCAGATCTTTTTTTGCTTTGAGTTTTGCCCAGTTGAGTTTGTGTGTGTGTGTGTGTGTGTGTGTGTGTGCGTGCGTGTGAGTGTATTGGAGAGAAGCAATCTTTCCTGTAGCTGTTGCTCCAGCTGAGTTGGCAGCTCTCATGCACCATGGGATCATCCTGGATAGATGCTGTTATTTATGCAGCGTGTCTAAACCAATCATCCTGACACAGATTTATGTAAACACTGCAGTTTCTTGGCATAGGATGAAATTCACACAAGCACAAGAAGGAAGCTGGAAGCATTATTCAGTTTGGCTCCTTTAGTGTGCACAGTACACAGGCCTAATGCACAAAATATGTTTTGGGAGCCTAAAAATGGGTTGTGGGCAGGTCAAACAGGAAAAGGGAACAGAGCAAAAAGGGTATCCGGATCGCAGCCAAACAAAATTCCAACTTTATTTTCAAAGTAACGAAAATTAAAACCAAAAACCACACAAAGAAAACCGTAAACTTATATCAAACATTTTATTAGATTTTTTTTCTCGCCCCTGATTTGTTTTTATAAAATTCATTTTACAAAATTCAGAATTTTCCACTATCTTTCCAGTTTAATCTCTATAAAATTAGGTCTGCAGTTACAGAAGAGAGTGAAGGAAGCAGGCAGAGATTCATTCAGGTCACAATCCTGTCAGATGAATACCGCGTGTGAAAATTTACAGTATGTGTATTACATGTACTACTACCGCTATGACAACTGGGAAGGAGGAGGATTTTTGGGGGAATTCGCAAGTACAGTAATACAAGGCAGTATGCGTGTCAGGATGAGTTCAAGAAGACATTGAAAAATGATCCTATTACAGAAAAGGCAGGAATGTTTGTATCAGATGTGTGGTTATAGCATTCCAGTGTTGAACAATATCATTTAGGCAGCCACTATGAGTTACTGGATTTTGATAAAGGAAAAAAACACTACGAAGCAAAAGGCAGATGAGGAAAACTTTAAACTCGTGACAGTATTTCTTCTGAAGGCACATCAATATGTAACCTCTCGCCCTCTCAGATATTAACACAGGGGCACAGAAAAGAAAAAGATAGAGAAAATGTCACCTTATATATATTGCACCGAGTTTATTTCAGAAATGCAATTCTGTTTTTTGTTTTTTAAATTTACTGTCAAGCTGATAGCACATTCTCTGAAGTGAAAAATACCATGCAGCACCTCATCTTTGGACTTCCCCTTCCTTTTTCTCACATTCCCATATAGACAGAAAAAACACACCTGCTGGACCAAATAAATATGAGAAGGCGAATGGAGTTCTTCATATGAGAAAGGGAAAGGGAAAAAAAACTAATGCTTGTATTGGCACTTACAAACTGGGTTCTGTGAAGGGCAGAGGAGCTTATCAAACTAATCATATGCATTTAAAAAAAAAAAAAAACTAACAGAAACAAACAAAACAAAACAAATTATTAAAGGATGTACGGGGGTTAGGTGGTTAGAGTTCTAAAGAATTGCATTACATTTTGCCTGGATGATGCAGCGATTCAAAAACACATGCCCCATTCTAAAAATCATCACGTGACAACGTTTTAGATAAAATGATATGACATATAAACCAAAAAACAAATGCTGCTAATGGGATCCAACAATCAGAAATTGTTTAATAAAGAAGCAGAAAATCCCGGTTTCTTCTTGGCAGTCAGCATATATTACTGCAAAAAATTAGATATGTCTCTCAGATTTAGAAGACTAATATATGTAGCAGAGGCTGGGAGATAAGTAATTTACCAGACTGACGTACTGAATTATGGAAAATACTTTCCAGTGTCTTTGTTTTGGATTACACTTGTTAAATGCGGGGTACGCGCAGTGTCATAATGCCAATCTGAGGGCAAGTTTAAATCTGTAATTATCAGAGAGGATTTTGATTGTGTGTATTCTTTAAAAGGAACATTGAGAATAATCCCTTACTACAGGATCTCCAGGATATTACCCAAGTTGAAAATTTCTACCCAGAGCCTGTTCGAAATAATGCAAATGCTCGGTGCAAATGTTTGTCAACCGCGTCCTATTTATTTATTCTAAGTGAGGAAAAGTGGTAGTCTCTTCAGAGTCATTTTTAAATTAGATAAAGGGTTTAAATGATTTATGATGATTTAGGCATATATAAAAATCTTGCCAAAAAGTTTTTCTTTCTTGCCTTTTCACAGTGGTGTGTGTTTCAATTAGTTGGCTCATACAGTTTGCTAAGCCTGTTCTAACAAAGGCAAAGCTGTAATGTTCTAGCCAAAACACATGTACAAGTATCCTAGCTTGTTATTTAAGAAGACCTTTCTAAAAAGCTCTCAGGGAAGTACAGTCCTGGATTCAATGAGAGATTTCTATCCCTGCATTTGCAAATCTAGTTGTGTAAGTTGGCTTTAACACCATTATAATTATACCATGAGAATGTAATCAGAATAGCACATGACAAGACTCAGATTTTTTCTTTTTTTTTTTGCTCATATGAATGAAAGAGCTACAACAAAATATATAAAAGCTGACTAGGAAGATTTTACTCCACCTTCCATGATTTCATTTACACAGAAAATAACAAATGACGGGGGGGGACCAACAAAATAAAATAAAACCGACAGCAGCAAGATCAAAGTGCTCATTCTGCACCATGTCTTTTTCGGAGATTCCCAGATCCCAACGGCATCAGATAAAACTGTGAGGCACTGTGAATGTCAGATCAACGATCGTAACTCAATTCTGCGGTCGCGGCTTTGTTTCCTCTCTTAACCCACTCTAAACTATTGGTTTTAAGACAATACAGAAAGAGTAGTGCTGGCCGTTCATCCACTGTATAAAAAAATAGCTAAACACAATCCAAAATAGTGTTATCCTCTTCATAATTATCAGTAATATTCTATCAGCAAAAACTTTCAGAATCCTGTGCATAGTGTACAGACCAGACCTGTCTCTTTCAGCGGGGTTGGAAGTGGTTTGCCACTGACGGGATACTGAAGCAGCAAGCTGTGAATTCAGACTCCAAGACCGCTTTGGTTCAAGGTCGAGAACCTTTAGCTCCTCAGGTGAGCTTCAGCAGGTGGTAGTCAGTGTAAATAGTGGGACCCTTGTGGTCAGGTCTCTCCAGTACACATAACAGTAGGTCAGAAAGGAGACACGGAGAAAGTACCAAGAACAAAAAAAAGACACAGCCGCATCTGTTCCAGTTTCTTTTCCCCCAGTTCCAAACCCCATTTGCTTCTCTACTGATCCATCCATGCAACTCTGAAAAGGCTGTGCGCATATCTGTATGGTCGCCCCCCTCGCTCTTTCTTTGTAGTGTCCAGAGAACGGGGGGGGCTCAGGAAGGTTATAGCCTCTCTATGTCCCTGTACTTTTTCCGCAGTATGGACACCTGGTCTTTGAACAGGACTGGGTCCAGCCTCATTTGAGAATGGATCAGGGGCATGGTGCCAAACCAGTTGGCAAACTTGTTCATGCAGGTCTGACGCTGGGCAAAATGGTCCGGGTCAGCCCAACGAGATGCTCGGGAGCTCTGTGGATGGAAGGTTTTGAAAGGTGCGAGAGACACAGACAGTGGCAGAAGGTAAGAGATCAACAAAATAAATGATTCATCACCAATGACAGTGACCTTTCTGAGGCAATATTGCAAGAATACCAAATTTAAATTCAGGTTTACAAATGACGACTGTTTTGTTTTGTTCCTTGACAGGAGGGATTTAGTGGAACTAAAGACTATCAGAGCATAAAACACTTAACTGTGGATGATAATAAACAAATCCACAAAACCATCCACACGATTTAAGGAAAAAAAAAAGAAGCCCCACCTGTCCCATCATGGTTTCCTTGTATTGTTTCTTCTGGGTGACCTTGATAGGTGGCAGTTTAGTCACCAACGACACCAAAAAATTCATGAGAATGTCCTCACAGTTGGACATCTGGTCAACCATGATCTTCAGACTGGCTGGAAGGTAGGTGGTGTACAAGTCGTGGTAGTATCTAAACAGGAAGTTTGACAGAGTGACTGATTATAATAAAAGGAGAAACTGTGTAAGCTCTGGACTAAATGGAATCGGAGATGAGTGACAGTACTTGTGATAGATAGCAGCCCCGGTCAGCACCATGGAGTAGTCATTGGTCCATTTAGATGTGTAACCCCACCGCTCTTTGTTGCTGTCCCAGAAGTGGCTACGGGCCGGGTAACCAACAATGCGGTCTGGGAAACTCTGCCACACTGTGAAGGCAAAGTCAACCTGGATCGAGATCACAGAGAAACAAAGTGAGACGGGCAGAAAACAGCACATGAGGACAGGAGAACAGATGATTCCAGAGAAGTGTACCAACAGCATACAGAGAGAGAGAGAGATGATAAATAGAAAATGACTAGCTCGAACTTGGGCAACCTTTGGTCTTAAATGAAAACACAGTACAAGTGAAGTATGACGACAGTCTGACCTCTGTAGTGGAAAGCACCGTGTCCTCGTCCAGACTGAGTACAGCATCGGTGGGGATGGTGTTGTAGGGCAGAAAGCGGCTGCTTATCACCTGGTGTGATTTGGAAAAGAGAAAAGAACAAACAGCTTTACTGTGCAGCTGATTACCAAATGACACTGTATGAATTAGCCTCATATGAGCACAAGTGAGGTGCATGTGCTTAACAGACGGCACCAACAGTCAGTGTCTTTCATGTCTCTTTGTGCTACAGAGCTGTTCATCTTACAGAGTCAGTGACAGTACAAACACACCGTGTTAATGAGGAGCTTAAAAACACAGATAAGGATCTATAAGTAGAAGAGTGCTTTTCCCTACAATCTCTCATATATCTCTCTAAATATAGTTAAAAATAACTATTTTATTAAGTGATCATAAGGACTAAAAAATAAACATGTGTCTAGACTTCTAAATGTCACTTTTAATCAAAGTGTAGAATGTGGGTTTTTAATCGCTGTTAGCAACAACCTTGTTGGCCACACTGGCATTCAACCCACGGGGCTTTGGTTGAATAAATACCTGCAAGTTTCTTATACACTACAAGTTTCATTTTGCTTGGAAACATGTTTACAGGATAAATAACGATAAACCTCCTTGAATCAAGCTCAAAGAAGTGAGAGAGAAAGACACAACGTTCCAGTGCCATGTCTGAAAAGCACTTACGCTTAAAATTTAAGTCTTTTTCATTATTTCTGAGATCTAAATGATAAATCCAACATTTTTGTATCGAATCCTCGGTAAATATAAAATAGGTTTAGATATTGAACCTATAGTTGACACACTCTAGCATCCTCCTGCATTAGGGAGGTTGTGGCCTTAGATTAGTAAGTGTTGAAAGCATAAAAGGTATCACAGGGCATGCAGTAAACAGTAAATTAAAAAGGACCCAAAGGCTGTACTTGTAATTCCCACTAATAGAATTCACTCATGCAGTTGAGCTTTAGTGATTCTTCCGAGAAGAATGGGGGAAAAAGAAAATAGGTGTACTTCCGCTTAAACCAAGCACCAAGTAAAGGTATGAATGCTTATGTAACATTTCAGTGGTTAATTTTAAATTAAACACACACATAACTGCAAAAAACTGTTTTTGTTTTGACATTTTTGAATACTGTGTGCAGCCCAATAAATACATTTTATTCAGTTTAAGAAGATTTGTGAAATAAAACCAAATGTGGACAACTTGCGTAATATGACAGATACACGCCTAAGGTTTTTACCTTGCTTTCTCCTTCTATTACAGTAACAGGGACTGATGTGGCAGGCCAGCGGTGCTTGGCAGGAAGAGGCTTTTCACAGTTCCACAAAACTATCACCTGCACAAAGAGGGGTAAAAAGTATGGATTAAAGATAAACACCATGAAGAAGACCTCATTTTAATTTCAAAACCATCTCTTTGCTAGCTTTGTAGAAGACAACAGCATCTTCATGAAACTGCATATCTATTTTCAGAACTGTCACGCCACCTACACGACAGTGATGTGTCATTACTGTAAATGCTGAAACAAAATGTACTGACATTTAGCTGTACAGTTCTGTATGAGTACACATTTCCAGTGAATTTGCAAAAGGTCGAAATAATGGATAATGTGAACCCAATATTCACTGAAAAAGGCGACAGGATTGAATGAACACACCGAAAACCGTGCTGCAAAACAGCACAGACACATAGTAGTTAAAACACTGCCACCATTATTATCTCAAACAGCTCTGTCTGAATTTCAACAGTATTTAAGCACAACTTTCACATCAGCAGAACAGCTGTACATTACATAGTTCTACTGCTAATGGCTTCTTATATTTCCTACAGTGTGCATTACCAGAGTATAAAAGGATCCGGAGAGAGTGGAGTGTTGGGGTGGATGTGTTGTGGCAGGAATGTTGCAAATGCAAATGATTTGGACAGCCTCCCTTCATCTCTCCGGCATGAATAAAATACTGCAGTTCAAAAGCAGCTTTAAACCAACAGCCGCACTTTGGTAATTCGATAAACCTGAGCAATGACATAGCGGCAGACCTCCCTTTCCTACTAAAGCGGCTTTGCTTGTGTGGATTGTCTTTAAATAATGCTTTGGAAACTTTCTGCATTTTAGGATGCAAAACATTTAAATTAACTGACAGAAGGAAATCACATCAGTATCACGGAATAACCTCTGTGGATCGGGTCTGTCTGAGCATAGCTGTGTGTACGTGTGTGTTGGGTTTTTATTGACCTGGGCACAGTACTGGGATTTGGCCACAGCGACAAGTAACTTCATGACCGGCTGGGACTGGGAGACCAGTGGAGTGACCACATGAATGATCGCTGTAAACTTAGAAGGTGGCTTAATACCTAGAAGGCAAAAAAAAACAAAACACAGGACACGCAATTTAAAAAAAACCTTTTTCTTCTTACACATCTACTTCAAGCTGTGTGGATGCATAGCTGAACAGATCTTATTAGGTCTGTAAAGGAAAGGAAGCCAGTTAACCAAATCCCAGTGTCAACAACAAGCCAAATATCTGGCCAATTAACACAAATTAGCACAAACAACATAGCAAGTGTAACTGATGTGCTTCTCTGACAAATCATAAAATAATAAATATGCATTACATAACTTGTCCGTGATTTACATATTAGTTTACAAGCACTTAACACCTGTCACACACCACCTGTTTCTGTGTTGTGCCATAAATAAAATCAGTCTAACCAAGCCTGGGGTCTCCCAGTAATGTTGTTCCTATACTGCATGCATGATGGATTAACTGACCCAGCTCAGCGTAGTAGAAGGGAAAGTCTCTCAGGGAGGTGGAGTACTGAGGCAGGGTGAAAAGACCTCCAGGTAGACTGTTCCACATGAGGTTACTTCTTGAGGTGTGCAGCAGCACCCGGTCCTGAATTATCTACAAGAATAGGAGAGAGGAGTGGGGGGTGGGGCAAGATCACATTTTTCAGTAAATCTGTAAATTGATCATAAATAAAATCACAACAGTGCTTTTCCTGAGTTATTTCAAGAATAACTTCTCACTGATCTCACAAGGACTGAGGAAATAGAGTTGTGCGTCGAGATTGTGCATGTCCAATCCAACATGCTGCTTGGGGACTGAGTGCAGGCACAGATCCTCTGGCACTTCTCAAAATTAACAACTGAAATTACGAGTCACTTCAAATAAACAAGGATCCTGCAGAATACAAATGAGGGGCTTTTTGTCTTCATCTTGTCGTGCCTTCTAATAAACGTCCTTTCATTCTGTTATTTGAATCTCTTTTAGGGTTTTTTTTGACTAATTTTTGGCTGTGCTTTATAATTTCTCATCTTTCAGTTTCCCAGTTGTATAAATGAATTTCATGTTTTCATCGGTATATTTTATATATGTGTAACAAATGACAGAATTGGATTTAGGCTAGAATTGACAGTGACAGATCTATTTTGAGAAATTGAGATGCTATGAATCTGTCAAAACAGACATCAGTTCAAAACGCTGAAATCCGATGTTGTAAGATCCTCACACAGTAAAAGCCTTTATGCACCAGATGCATAAACATCGTGTGAATGTTTCATGCATTAAAAATTTCTCAGACCAAACACATAATTTTGCTGGACAAATTTGCAGCATTTATTTTTTTTCAAGACAAGCTCAATTTTTTAGAATTTTTAAATCCAAATAGAGATCTGATCATTCAGTCCACTGCATTTGACATCAAGTGTGTTCGAAGCTCAAAATGTGCACTGGTACCAAATATAGAAATGGTAAAATAATATTTTACCTCATTGACATAATTAATATTGAGTAACAGCAGTTACTTGAGCTTTAACTCAAACCATGAAATTCTCCCTGTTGTTGTGATCTTGTGAGAGCTGAATGAACCCAAGCGTTGCAAGACCAAAGCTAGGAAGATTATGATGGACCTCTCCCATCCCAACAATGGACTCTTCTCACTGTTGAAGTCTGGGAAGCGCTTCCGCTCCCTTAAGGCCAAAACAGAGAGAATGAGGAGGAGCTTCTACCCCCAGGCTATTCGGGCCCTGAACCAGGTGTAGGACTGTACTCTCCCACACACATCACCACACGCACCACCACACACTTCCTATAATTTATAATCTTTATAATCTCTTTCTGCTATTTGCACATTTTTTACTGTAAATTTCTAAGTTAATTTGTAAATTTTGTAGTAACCTGTAAATTGTAAATACTGTAAAACCTTTTTTCTGTCATTTAATGGTTGGGCATTGCACAGCTACAAGCATTTCACCCCCATGTCATACTGTGTATGGTTGTGTGTGTGTGTGTGTGACAAATCAAATTTGAATTTGAACCCAGTTTCCCCCCTTTTATTTTAAGGAAAACATTAGGATGCTTGATTTTGTTTTCCTTTCTTCTTCTTCCTTTAAAAAAAATAAAAAATAAAATAAATAAATTTAAATAAATTGTTTAAGAACGATTTTTAAAAATCTTTCTTAAACTTAAAAATTCAGAATGTCATGACAGTCTTTTGCAATGGACTCTCTGTAAAAGTCATGTTTAGTTATTTAGTCCAATATTACATTCTGTATGCTTGTAAGCTTTGCAAGCCCACAGCATCACCTGTTCCCACTGACATTCCCAGATGACTCCTAGACATTAAGAGGATATCCTAATAGAAATGTTAAGTGTCCTCAGTAGTTATGGTGCAGCTACAGACCACAACAAACCCTGTTTATTTCTAGCAAAATACATATGGTGATAAACTTGATTGTTCAAGTTCACTTTTACCTTGTTTATGGCAAAATATCAAGAATCCCCAGATAATGGTAGCTTGCTAAAAGAGTGCATCAGGAGGCAAAACATAGCTGATTTGGTGTTGCACTGTGGGATATGTCGGTGCAGGGTTAAGATGCTGAGTGTAAACAGATCGAACATCAGCTTCTTGGGGTTGTAACTTTAGCCTGCTGACACGGAAAAGCCATCTCTGCCTTCTAATGCTCTGACTTACTTACTCTAGGTATGAAATGTCTGTAAAGTTATACGAGCATAACTATTATTGGTGTGAATTGCAGTCAGCCATAAGACTGACTGCATGTTATGGAAAACAGCTGTAACATGATCTTCTTCACCTGCCATTCAGATAGTTTTTCAGTCACTTAGAGGTCACCTTCATTTGTTGTCAACTGTAAATTTATAGACACACAAATATTTAACCATGTAAACATAGGAAGAGTTTAAAGGGAAAAAAATCCTCACTTCCACAGCTTTACAATATCCTTTTTGCTTTTTTTCTCGCCTCTTTATCCTTTTCCATTCTTTACCGCTCTCATCTTTGTCTGTTTGTAACTTGAGCCCAAGAGCAGCGTGATAGGCTGCTATTCACTGGGAAGCCTACAGATAAATGGAGTCTGACAGGAACAAACTACTGACATGATTGATAGCCAAGCCACAGCGATACGCAGCCTCAAAACATGACAGCAGTGCTTAACAATATATATCACTCCTCTTGGTTTTCAATGTGGTTTTGAGCATTTTCATTGTACTAGTGCTACTACACAGTCTGTACTGATAATATGTCACCACAAAGTCGATAAGAATAATGAAAAGAATTGAATCATTCCTAAATGATAAGACAACTAATAGATTTATAATTTAACTATATTTTTACGCTCGTATTTATGCACAAATACAGAAGTGAAAAATACTAACACAGTAGTGAGGTTTTAAAATATGACAAGTAGTACACAGCACTTTTACGCCTGTATATAGTGACACACATGTAGATAGTTGTATGTAGTATGTACCTCCAGTGTGGTCAGTACTATCTTCTCCACAGAGTTGAAATAAGCCTCCCACAGGAACTGTGTCTGCTGTCTCAGGGAGAGGATCTTATCTTGGTGGATGGAGCGCACTGTTGAAGGGATCTAGGGAACAGGTAAGATATGCAAGAACATTTATTTTAATGAAGAAAGTAGAAAAGAACAGCTTAAACTGGATAATCTCAATACACAAATCGGTTTTGCTGTCCTATCTGCTGTATAGTAGTTTCAGGTTAAAGGGGTTAAACCCAATAAATCAGCACTGAACAATTCATGGAGGTCATCGAAGATGTGCAGCAATATTCAGACACTTTGCACTTGCTAGCTGACATAAACAAAAACTGGAAAAAAGAAGCAAGGAACACCTGCATGCTGCTGTTACCATCCCTTTTTAAGACATGCCAAAAACCTTCAGTGTTTAGGGGAAAAAACTAAACAAACTCATCTTCAATTTACATCATCATCATCTACAAGAATTAACACCCTTAGAGTTGTATGTAAAATGTTATCATATGAACAAATAATAGATAATGTATGATGACACTTTACTAGAACCGATACTGACAATGCTCATCACAAGCACTGAAGTCTCTTGTACATTTGGCAAGTATGGGTACTACAGC